ATAAGGAATATGACAGGCCATCAGGTTTAAAAACAAAATCTCTAGTTAGTCTGTTATTGCACAAATATACTTTTTTAAACAATGTGTTGTGGATCTCTGATATTTACAAAATCAAAATAACCTACTGAGTTTTCCATCTGTCATTGTTTCATGTTGGGAGGTGGTGAATTGCTTACTTTTAAAGCTTAAGGATTCCTGTAATCTCTATTACTCAAAATGAAAATTTTCATTTCCTTTATAGAATGCCAAAATTATTTTCTTTATTGTTCACACAGGAGCAATGACAGAAGTTAGAAAAGATGCGTCCACATCTCCTATGACAACAGGAAGCCAAAAGGAGCTTGTAAGCACAACCACATCATCATTCCAACACAACACCTCCCGGTAAGTTTTAGGGATTCTTCAATTTAACATTCTCCAAATAAGAGCATTTTTTTAGTTTATTTTTTATTTTTTATTGACATATAATTGACATACAATGTCCTATTAATTTTAAGTATACATTATAGTGCTTCGATACTTGTATACATTATGAAATGATCCCCATAATAAATCTAGTTACCATCTGTCACCATACAAAGTTATTACGATATTATCGACTATATTCCATATGCTGTGCATTACATCCTCATGATTTATTTCTATTTTAACTAAAAGTTTGTACCTCTTAATCCCCCTCACCTATTTAACCCACCCTCCAACTCCTCCCCTCTTTGGTAACCACCAATTTGTTTCTTGTATCTATGAGTCTGTTTCTGTTTTGTTTTGTTTGTTCATATGTTTTGATTTTTAGATTCTACATATAAGGGAAATCATATGGTATTTGTCTGTCTCTGTCTGATTTATTTCACTTAGCATAATACCCTCTAAGTCCATCCATGTTGTTGTAAATGGCAGCATTTTATTTTTTTATAGTTGAGTAATTTTCTGTTATACATAGAAACCACATCTTTATTCTTTCATCCATCTATGGATACTTGGCTATTGTAAATAGTGCTGCAATGAACGTAGGGGTACATATATCTCTTTGAGTCAGTGTTTTTGTTTTCTTCAGTAAATACCTCCAACTAGAATTGCTGGAATGTATGGTTGTTCTATTTTCAATTTTGTGAAGAGCCTCCATACTGTTTTCCATAATGACTGCACCAGTTTACATTCCCACCAACAGTGTGCAAAGAGTTCTCTTTCTCCATATCCTTGCTAGCACTTTTTTCTTTTTGTCTTTTTGATAATAGCCATTCTGACAGAAATTAAGTAATATCTCATTGTGGTTTTTGATTTGCATTTCTCTGATGATTATTGATATTGAGCATTTTCATGTTTCTGTCAGCCATCTGTGTCTTTTTGAAAAATGTCTCTGCCCGTTTTTTAATCGGATTCTTTGGATTTTTTTATATTAAATTGTGTAAGTTCTTTACATATTTTAGATATTGACCCTTTATTGAATATATGATTTGCAAATATCTTCTCCCCTTCAGTAGGTTGCCTTTTCGTTTAATTGATGGTTTCCTTTACCCTGCAAAAGCTTTTTGCTTGATGTAGTCCTATTTGTTTATTTTTGCTTTTGTTTCCCTTGCTTGAAGAGACTGGTTCAGAAAAATATTGCTAAGACCAGTATCAAAGAGTTTACAGCATGTGTTTTCTTTTAGGAGTTTTTTGGTTTCAGGACTTACATTCAAATCTTTAATCTTTTTGAATTTCTTGTTATATATAGTGTAAGATAATGGTCCAGTTTTATTCTTTCCCATGTAGCTGTCCCGTTTTCCCAATACCATTTATTAAAGAGACTATCTTTTCTCCACTGTATATTTTGCTTCTTTTGTCATAGATTAATTGACCATATGTGTGTGGGTTTATTTCTGGGCTCTCTGTTCCACTGATCTATGTGTCTGTTTTTGTGCCAGCACCATATCGTTTTGATTACTATAGCTTTGCCAGTATGGTTTGAAATCAGGGAGCATGATACCTCCAACTTTGTTCTTCTTTTTCAAAATTATTTTGGTTGTTGGGGTCTTTTGTGATTTTATACAAATTTTAGGATTCTTTTTTCTAGGTCCATTAAAAATGCCACTGGCGTTTTGATAGGGATTGCAGATTGCTTCAGGTAGTATGAATATTTTAACAATATTAATTCTTCAAGTCCATGAGCATGATCTATCTTTCCATTTATTTGTGTTGTCTTCAATTTCTGTTATCAACATATTATAGTTTTTACCTTGGTTAAATTTATTCCAAGGTATTTTTTTATGCAGCTGTTTCTTTTATTTCTCTTTCTGATAGCACATTATCAGTACAACTGATTTCTATATATTAATTTTGTATCCTGCAACTTTACTGAATTCATTTATTAGTTTTAATAATTTTTTGGTTGAGTCTTTTGGGCTTCCTATGTATAGTATCATGTCATCTGTAAATAGTGACAGTTTTACTTCTTCCTTTCCAATTTAGATGCCTTTTATTTCTATAGAAGCACTTTTGTGAGGTTTGTTTAATAAAGAGTGGAAAAATCTTGACACTTCTTAATGGCTTTTGCTCAGGAGAGATACCCTTATTTGGATGCATCTGGATTTGGCCAGGTTGAACTTTTGGAGCCCTCTTCTTTATACATGCTCTTCTTTAGTTGATAATGGTAATTGGCAAGGATATCCATAGAAACACAAAGCTAATCCTATCTTTCATCAAAAAGTCCGCTTAGTAGCAGGCTCTTCCCAAATTGTGCACTTGGACTATAAGTTTAACTAACTGAATTAATTGATATTGACAATTACAGTGGGCTTTGTTAAAGGACTGTCAACATTTACTTATTACAGAGAAATTTGAATGAAGAGAATAGTTTGATCAGCCTTTTCTGGAATCAGGAAAAGAAACATGTTATTAAAATTTCTCATATTGAATAAAATTTCTCATATCTAATATGTTCAACCTTTACATGTTTAAGGGCTAAATATATAAATATCAACACCAAAAGGGTTTGGTTTATGTTTCCCTGGGAATATGATTTTGAACACTTAAATACCTAGTATCTTATCAGATGAATGAATATAGGTTTTAAGATAATTTTAATTTTAAAGAACTTTTGGGAAATGACCCTAACACAGAGGATAATAATAATAGCTGTCATCTATTAAGCATCTAGTATGTTGCCAGCCCTTTGTATGCATTATCTGATTTAATCTTCATCATAGCCTTATGAAGTAGTACTATTGTCATCCTCATTTTAAAAAATTAGGAAACTAAGGCTCAGAGAAACTGATTGACTTGCCTAAGGTCACATAGCTAAGGTCAGCCAGCATTTCAGACTCTAAAGCCCATAATCTTAAATACTATAATAATTGACAATGACAACTTCCTTATTTTGGAGGCCACCCATAATCAAAAAAAAATTTTACTAGTTTACCACGTTCTTTGTTCATTACTCCTTTCTTTTATTTTTAATGCTGCTGTTGTTATCATTCTGCCAAAGACCCACCGTGAATTGTGGTTATGAAATATCGACGGGGTTCCCTCCTTGGACTACTTAATGTTGTGGCTGGATGCTTGTGCTCATAGAGGATCTGTCCTCGCTCACCTTGAGAGATTCTTCTGGAGGAGTTACAGGTAGGGAGGAGAGAGAGCCAGGATTTTCAGTGTTAGTGAATTTCTCTATTGTTGAGGATTAAAATGAGATCTCTTAACTCCACTTCAATGTGTATTTGATGATTACATTTCAGCTTAGAGAAAAGCATGAAAAAGAAAAAGAAAATGCTTTCCCAGTGAGGGTTTTGTAGAACATCCTCAGCACACATTTTCTGAATGGACCGTATCAACAGTGGAGTTTTACAAGGCCAGTTAAAATTGCTGTGAAGACTCATATTTATGGACCTTAAAAAAAGGATTCTTGATCTGTTAGTTCTCAATACTACAAATCAGCTAAATATAGATTCTCAGAAGCTTCTTAAGTAATGAGCATTTGGCTAAATAAAACCACGTGTAGCACACCAGATTTTATCCTTAGGCATGCACGATGGCATATTATAGGTCTATTATACAATGTGCAGAGTTGAAAAAAAAGATTCAGTACTATGAAAATCAGGTACCAGGAAGGCACAGTGTTTGCTTTCCAGATTTCCGAATCAGGATTATTTGAATTATTTTTATTTCAAAGTGTAGAAAAAACATTTTTTATAGACTGCTTTTTAGTTACACACAAACTCTTACTGCAAGAGAAAAGCCTGTTCTTCATCCTGACAAATCTTTGAAAGTAGTACTTAGGAGAACAAGAGTAAAAACCCTTTTCCCTGTCCACCCTAAATTTTAAGAATTTTCAAGACTTGCAAAAGAGGATGGGGCTGTGACAGATGCTAGTCCTGGACAGGTTTTCCTTTGTTTTCTAAAAAGTGTTAACACCTACAGGACTACCATATTATTCCATGTGCAGGTAATAAAACAAGGCATGGCAAAGTAATCTTTCTCATTCATGGTGTAGGCTGTTAATTGTTCTCTCTGCTGCCTGTCAATATGTGAAATTTTCATTCCCCATTCAAAATGGAAAAAGTTGTGGCTGAAAATGTTAACATTTGCATTTTTATTTGTTGATTTATTTAAAGGACAGCCTCTCCTACAGCAATCTATCACTTGGTGACACCCCAAATATGAATAATGTATTGTAGACTTGCAGCTACCATGTGTAACAAGTGCTAGAGACAGTAAAGGAATGTTAACAATGTTGCAAATGTAATATTTATTGACTCATAAAGTTTATCGCTTTTGAAGTTCAATAATACTGACCGTAACACATTAATATCACTTATCCTGATTTTAGCTGGGCACCTTTGTATGTAGAAATATTCATCTATCTCATGCTAACAAAATAAATATGTAATTTATAGCACAAGCAAAGAGGGCTTTGTAGTTTTCAGTGCTGAGAGCTGTAATGCTTCTTTCTTTCCATTTCACTTCTGGCCTCCAGCATTGATCGCACACCCCTGAGCTGTCCAAGAGAGTTAGCACACTGCTCATCTTGGCACAAGAGGGTGTTGCCACTGAACTAAATAGTACCTTGCATTTCCGCATGGCTGGAACAGGCAACATGGCACAAACCACTCCACCTGGAAAGAACTACAGGGGCCTTTTCTCCCTGTCATTCTGACCGCCCCGCTGGTAGGTGCACACACCTTCACTCAGAAAGTCCAGTATTTTTCCTGTCATGATACTGAGTCATAGTTTACTGATTCTACTTGAGCCTCTTCTCCAGTGTGAAGCCAGACCTGGGCAACTTACCAATGAATTTGTTATGAGCCACAAATATTACCAATGATTAACCCTTTTGTGCCTTCCAGAATTAGATGTGTCCATTGCCAGTAAGAAAGATCATACAGGAAATATCTGGCCCCCAGAGCAAGAGA